GAGTGTTCTCAAATCCATCATCTTGTTTGACCCTTGTATCATTTTGCCAGATAGTTATATGTTCATTTGTTTATCTGTTTAACAAACACGGCTTCACCCTGACAAGCTAGCATGACTTCATAATTGATACAAACAGATCTACAGAGCCGTCAGGTGGTTTGTCCCAAATTCTCACCACTAATGAAGGCCAGGCCCAGGGAGCTTTTGGACCCCTGCTGTCTCCTCCGTCCCACTCCATTTCTGACCCTCCTGTACTCCAGCATCCATCCCTGCAGTCACCACTTACCTCTGCTCTTCAGGGCCTAAAACACCATCAAGGCAGTAATGCTATCAGATCACTTTTAGGTGAGTCTGGATTATGACAAGCCACAGAAAAAGAAAGCTGGTAGACAATTTTCATCCTTGAAAGAGGGTCAGTTAGTAGAGGGGAAAAGAACAAACCAACAAACCTGGAATGTTCAGGGTAAAACATCTATAAACTAGCATCTGTGATGTAGCTAGGCTGGCCTGGGGAGAGCACTCAGTACATTCTGGAAGTGCAGTGTTGCTTCTGTTACTGTTATTATTGTGGAAACAGCTCTCTTAATCTCTCTCTACTTCACTCACAGATTAACCCTCACCCTCCTTTCCCTCTATGGAGGAAGCCAAACAAAGCCCACAGCACACTGAGCACTCACAAATAGTGAGTTGCTCTGGAATACTCAGGTCCTTCTACTCCCACCTGCTGAATGCCCATGCTTAACAAAGCCCAGGGGCGCCCCTAATTCTCTTGAGTGTGAGCCGATCTTGTTGTAATTTAAAACTTTGACTGTTATGTTAACTGCAAAATTATGAGTTTGATAATCATGAGGAAAACAACCAAACGCTTTGGGACAACTCAAAGAAAGAATTGTTAAAAATTTTTTTTTCTATTGAAGCGGAGATGGATGAGACAACTATGAAAGATGGAAGGTATACAACCCTGCAAGTGGTTTGCACTTAGACTGTTTGACGAGTGACTTTTAGTTAAAGGAACCAAAACTAGAAATTGTAGGCAAAAGCATTAGAGGTATAATTGATAGAGTCAGGTAGACCCATTGTCAAAGGGATGGGTCCCAAAAGCTTGGCTTTGTTTGAGTGTTTTACCACACAAGTAGTGGGTGACTTGAATATCAGGAAAACATAACTAGGATTTTAAGGTCACCAATAGATAGCTTTTGTGACTCAATGTTATACTTACTATTTAGTTCATCAGCACAGGAAATCTGATTGGCAAAACACTTCTGCTATATTGAAACATGTTCACCTTATAAAATGTTACCTCCAATAACAGTGATGCTAAATTAGAGCATCAGTTATGGGTGCACCCAGAGCAGTACTTCTAAGAGTTGGCCACCTCTCAGGACTGGCCATGCATCATTTGCACAGCCCAGTAAAAAAATGAAAATGCAAGATCCCTTGCACAAAAATGAATAGGAATTTCAAGACTATGCCAGCAGAGCAACCAATCATGGGCCCATCTGAGCAACTAGATAGGCCACCCACCTGCGAAGACCCCACTGTCACCACTTACAAATTGCCACTTAACTGTGATTGGCAAATCAGTGGAACTTAAAAAAAAAAATGTTTAGTCTGTATCAGCTTACTATTTCTCACAAAATTCAGCATGGACGGACTTGAAGGTCATTTTTCACATTAATTATACCATCGGTAAAGAAACACTTGGAGAATAAACTTGTTTGAGACTCTCCTGATCTTTCTAGGTAACTTCTTTACATCCTAATTGTCAGGAATGTTAAGGCCTAGTTTTTGTCTGTCCATATCCCCCTAAGAATAATATGGCCCTTCCAGAATAAATTTCTCAATCCATTCTATGAATCAAAGGATTCTGAAATATTTAAATATATCACTTAGGCAAAAGGGGGTTTTTTTGCAGTTTTTGACTGGGGCTGTGTTTGAACCTGCCACCTCCGGCATATGTTAAGATTTAACATAAAATCAATATACAAGATGATGTCAACAAACAGGGTTTTGCCTAGGGTCAACCTAATCAAAAGTTCTGACAAGGAATAAGAAAACAGCATTGGATTCATGATGACAATTTATTGAAAAATAAAATTTTAAATAGAGAAATCACATATATTGTAACACAAACAGATAAATCTAGACAAAGATTAGGGTGGCGTCTGTAGTTCAAAAGGGTAGGGTGCCAGCCCCATATACCAGAGGTGGCAGGTTCAAACCCAGTCCAGGTCAAAAACTGCAAAAAAAAAAAAAAAAAAAGAAAAGAGATTAATTTTAAAATTATAAACCAATCATACAATGGTTAGAGATATCCTCTGTGTAGTTTTACATCACCAGCTGATGATGCTGTAATAATAAAAATGTAGAACTATGTCAAGAAAAATCATACTTCTAAGCTACTTAATTTGTATTTTATTCACTTATTTATTTGTTTAGCAGGCCTGGGCCTGGTTGGAACCCACTAGCCCCAGAGCATGTGGCCAGTGCCCTAACCATTGAGTTACAGGTGCCCAGCCAAAATTAATTTTTTAATTAAATGTATGTTTTTAATCAGAATAGAATGTTTGTGGTGAGTACCTATTATTTTTCACTTTGACTTTTTCTATTAAGTAAGGAGTGATCCCTCAGGTTGGATGACTTCTCCTGGGTTGCCCATGTCCACTTATTCTGCCACTGTGGTCAAAGCTCATTTATAAGCCCTTGGTCAGTGGCGGCTGTTACTTGAAAAAGTCATTTTACAGGGGTGGGCATGGTGGTTCACCTCATCTCTAAAAATAGCCAAGCGTTGTGGTGGGTGCCTGTAGTCCCAGCTACTTGGGAAGTTGAGGCAAGAGGATTGCTTGAGCCCAAGAGACTGAGGTTGCTGTGAGCTATGATGCCATAGTGCTCTACCGAGGGTGACAAAGACAGACACTGTCTCAAAAAAAAAAAAGGAAAGTCATTTTACAAATTCATATCTGAATTTTTTTTAAACTTAAACCATATAACTTACATTCACACACTATTTCTTAGTGTAAGGACATATGTATCAGCTGATTACAGTTTCCTAAGCTTTTTTTATGTTAGCAACTCCATTTTAATTTCCAATTTCTATTGTTTTAGCATGAAATGAGAAGTTACAAATATGTGCAAAACAAATTGGAAAGCAAAACCTTCTTTTAGACTTTTAATGTTTCTTTTTCTTCTTTTTTTTCTCACTTCTTTATGGTCCCAGGAATAGTCTCATGGTCATTTTTGTCTAATCTGGGATGTTTCTGTTGGTAATCTTTGTGCTTTATATTTGGTTTTGATTGTCTGTTGGGGCGGTGGTGAAGCCAGCTTGCTTCTATCCTGCTATTTTAAAATGGGAAGTCCCTCCTTTTTTCTTTCTTTCTTTTTTATAGTTTTCTTGCCCTCACCAGCACACCAGTTCAGCAGTGTACAATTGTTTTCTTTTGTTTTTTTTTTTTTGAGTCACTTTTATTTGGGTCTTTGCAAAGCATTTACTTTAGTTTTCGTAGAAACATTTCTCATTTTTATTCACACTTACATTTCCCTGCTTTACATGGTGGATATTTAATTAAACTTCTCCATGAGTTCATCTGGTGAAAACAGACTTGAGAAGTAACTTGGTAACTGGTGGGAACAGAAAGGCATAGACATACTGGAGAGCTGGCTTTAAGAACGCGGTATGTTATGAGCACCTGTTGTTATATTTTAGAGGGGCTGAAAAATATGCTGGCGAGTTGTTAAATGGAAATGCCAGCTGGCCTCCTTCAAGTTGAGTGGGGTTATTAGGCACATAAATCCCTGCCACAGCTCGTCTTGGCCTATGCCCCATACAACAGCGTCTGGGAGAAAGAGTCACGTCCCAACCCTCCCTGTGTGATTTCTGTCTGCTGCTCACACTTGATCCATGTTTTCATGAACTTTTCATCACTGAGCCTCAGACATGGCTTGTCTACAGGTACCTGGTTGTGGGAGGGGAGAGACTTCCATATGCTTATCAGTAATTTAGTCAGATTGTCCAAAACACACCTTCCAAATTTGGGGGAAATCCCTTCATGTAGAGTGGTAACAGAAACTTCATTTTATTTGTATAGATTACTGTTACACTGAGTCACTGCACAGAATATAAAAGGTGAATAGTGAAGAGCTGTTTTGATACTCACGTCCTCTGGTCGGACTAAAAGGTTCTGTTTGTGATGCTGAGTGTTGGAAAATTTCTAGATCTGCTTGGTCTGTGGCACTTATGTTTTACCTGGGAAATTTCTGGAGCATCAGTCTTTAAAATGGAAGACTACGTAAGAAGACGTAGCAGGTTTCCTAACATTCGTTGAACTTTGTGTTTGTCAAAAAGTCCTTTAATTAAAGACTGGCGACATCTAGTCACCTGCAAAAAAAAAAAAAGATAGCAGCCCCTAGGGACAAAACACCCTGCAGGGTTCAGAAAGGGAAGGGCGATATACAGAACTTGTGTTTTTCCATTTTAGTTTTGAGAATCTCTTTTTTTCCATGAGTAATTTTTTTTTAATGTTAAGGAAATTTTTTACTCTCTTCTGAGAAATGGAGCCCACTTGGCCCCGTGATGGGCGGTCAGGGACCCCCAGGGAAGGTGGGAGGCACTCAGAGTTGTCACCTGTCGCGAGGGGGCACGATCAGGGGTCGGGGGCCCGGCGGGGCCGGCGGAGGAGGTGGCTGCGCAGCGACCACGCCCTGTGTGTCCTCTGGGTCTGTCGCGCTCGGCGCCGGGTTTGCGCTCCTGCCAGCGTTCCCGGCCCCAGGGTGAGCCCCCGGCTGGCCGGTTCCTCCTCTCCGGCCCGCGCCCGCCCCGCCACGTCGGGCCTGGCGAGGTGACGCGCGCAGTTCCCAGGAGGGACGACAGGGCCGCCCTCTGGCGCCCCGGGGGACACGCCGTGACGCCGCCCTCGCCTCGTGGGGAAACTTTCCTCTCACAAGACCGCGTCCTCGCCGGAGCCGCTGACTCACCTCTCCGTGTTCTCTCCCTCTGCCCGTAGGAAATGTGACTGGAAACAGTAACTCCACGTTCATTTCCAGCGGGCAAGTCATGAACTTCAAGGGCGACATCATCGTGGTCTACGTCAGCCAGACGTCGCAGGAGGGCGCGGCGGGCGCGGGGCCGGCGGAGCCGGTGGGCCGCCCGGTGCAGGAGGAGACCCTGGCGCGCCGCGACTCCTTCGCCGGCAACGGCCCGCGCTTCCCGGACACGTGCGCGGACCCCGCCGGCCTGCGGGAGCCGGGGCCCGACAAGGCGTCGCGGCCGGTGCAGGAGCAGGGCGGCGCCGAGGCCTAGGGCAGGCCCCCCGGCCCGCCGCCTCGCCTGGCCCGCCGCGTCCCCTCCCTCCCGACACCTGCCAAGGATCGGTACATTCACGCCAAATTCCCACGGTGACGTTCCCCACCCACCTTGCTCTTCAGGGAGACAGTGGCTGTTCCCAAAGGAAATTATCAGGAAACTTATCGCGTTCTCCTCGGCCCCTTGCCCTGTAACCTCTCGGGTGCGCGTTGCTCCCTCTGGCCGCCCGCGCTGGACTTTCTTTTTGGTTTTTTCCCCCTCTCCTCCAACAGTAACATGTACCTTAGGACATCTGTTTTTAGGACTGTCCTGTCCGACTGAGGCCTTTGTTCCCTGTATTTGTATTTCACACCATTTTTTGATATTTCACCTCCTACTTTAAAACTAAGAGTTTTCATGAAGATTCTCCTTTACATATTTTCTTTTGTGCTCTCTTGAATGGTATTTTGGAGATGACTTTCCTGGAGTGTCTGTACTGACCACTTTGGGGAAAAGGCTTGACATATAAAGCTGGATCGAGGTGCTGGGAACACGCGAGGGGCTTTTATGTTCTGAAAAATGTTCTGTGTTCTCATTTTCTTAAGAAAAAGAAAAGGGAAATCCCATTGCTTCCCCCGAGTGATGTTTGTGTTAGTCCTTAAGCAAAATTTTTGAGTGTGTGACCTTGTCCGCAGTGGGGTATGTTTATCCACTATAGCAGAGGCAATCGGGTACTAGGTACCTAAATCTGTAGAAATCCAAGTTGCTGCTATTTGGTTTTCTTATCCTTAAATCTCTGAAAAAGACGAAGAGAACGGGATACAGAGCTAGCTTGCCCACAGAGTGGAAAGGAGGTGCCAAGAAAACTCGAAGAAGAAAGGATAGAGTTGAAATTTTAATTTGCATTTTCTTTTTTAGATGAGAATAGTGGTAAACACGTCCTCCTTTCTTCCTAAATAATGAGGTCTTGTAGAAATGGAAGACGTTCTATAACTTAGCCTTGTAGAAGTGGGAAACAGTCCCACCATTTCCCCATGCATTTAAATTAAAAACCAAATTCTCTTGCTGTGACTGTAAGAAAACTTATCTTAAAGGTGCTTTTCTGTGGGCATCGGCCCTCTTATGAGGAAACAGCGTATGAGTCAGATTCAAGGCGTCACCTGGGTTCTTCTATCAATCATGGCCAGTGAACAGTGGTTCTCAGACACCCAAGACAAGTTAAAACACATAAGCAAATTAAAATCAATTTTGCACATGTGGTAGGTTATAAGACCACTAATACGGATCATTGTCCGCTTTATTGGCTACAGAGGCCCAGCTGAAGAGAATGACCATCGATCACTGGTTTCTCCCTCCTGGTTGCAGGTCTCCTGGAAATGCTGGAGTGGGAGCAGTTGATTACAGTTTTTAATGGCAAAGCAGAGCACCGCTGTGTTATTTATGAGCCCCCCCCCCTTAGCTGACATAAAGAACTGCAGGAAATAACTGCACTACTAGGTTGATCCACTGGTGGGAATTTACTGTCTGTTCTGCTCTTTTTGTTAACATCCATCCACACAGAGATATTATAAAAGTGGAAGAAACTATTATCCCCTTTGATATGGAATATATTAGACAAAGTTATAATTTGCAAAGTGGAACACTGAGCTAAAACCCCAAGTTTCTACTGTGACTGTCATCTCACGGAGGCTGCTTCACACTGTGCTTTCATTTTCCCTCCCATAAAAAGGCAGTAATGATAATTTATAATAGTCTCCCTACCCAGAGATATCCAAAGGATGCTACAGTGAATATTAAAGTACTTCGAGCTCCTTAAATCAAAGGTGCTGTATAAATACATAAGAATCTACATTTGGAAAAAGGTAATATGTATTCTTTCCCACAATAATTCTTAACAAATTCTGTGTTGATCCAAAGGCAGCTAAGTGATGGGAAATGTATCACAAATCTGTCTGTATTATAGAGACGTTTGGGACAAATGTAAAGAAAATGAAGGCAATAATGAAAATTATTTGGGGGACATGACAGAGATTAAACTTGTATTTGACTATGAAAGTTTGTTTTTCATGGTTTGCTAAAACAGGGCCCATTGTAAAATTGTGATCCAACATACTCTTGATCTTTAATGGTGTGCTGTGGTGTCGAAGCTTGGTTGGTTTTATTGTCAAGTTGCTTGACAGCAGACTTGAGAGAATATACTTGCTTTGATGGTATTTAGGCTGTGGATTTCATAAGAAAGTTCTCTAAAATACATCCTGGATACCTAGTGAAAGAGTTGAATAGGAAATGGTATGTAATGTTTCCTACTCATGTTTTACTAGGCTACCAGAAGAAGGAAGAATGAATTTCTGTACCCACAAATGCAAAGAGCAGTTTGAATGTGATGTATCAGGATCTTAATTTGGCTGGGGAAAGAGGGATTTCTTGCTGTGTAACAGGCCATCCCAATATAAGGCTTAAAACAGCTCACAGTTTTGTGGGCTGGATCTACTAGGGTGGTTCTTCAGGCCTGGTCCCCTCTGGGCCAAGCTTGCTCAGCCATTTGCAGTGAGCTCGCACCACGTGGTCTCCAGTCCTTCCAGCCAGCTAGCTGGACTTGTTCTCATGGTATCAAGGCCCTGAGAGAACAAGTAGAAACCTGCTAGGCATCTTGAGGCCTGTCACTTCTGCCACATTCTGTGGACCACAGCAAGGCCAGTCCAGATTCAAGGTTGGGGAGGAGACCCCCCTACCCATGGGAAGAGTTGCAAAGTGGATACATGAAGGGGAAGAAGAGGAGCGCTTTGCAACCCTAACCAGTGAGTGGTTCCCTCTCTGGTGATTGAGCTTCTTTGATGCATAGCCCTATGGGTTCCTTTGGTGGGAAGACACCCACATTCATATTTGAGTGCTACATCAAGATTCCTTCCAAGGCCAAATATAGAAGATTTGGGAATTGAGTTGACTACTTCTGTATTCCTTTGGTACATAAAATTAAAAATTGACTACTTGTAAAACAAGAAAACTGTTGGGATACCTTCAGTACAGGAACCTGTTACCTAAACAGATAAAAGATCTAGTATATCCTAATTCAATAAGCTCTTTTTATGATTATGTTCTGGGCAAAAGGGTGAACTTGAACAAAGGCCTGGTCTTTCTTGGAAGAAACGTAGCCCATAGCTCAGTGGATAGGGCACCGGCTGCATACACTGGGGCTAGTGGGTTTGAACCCAGCCTGGGCCAGCTAAAATCAACAATGACAACTGCAACAATGACAACAAAACAAAAATAAATAAATAGCTGCGTGTTGTAGTGGGTGCCTATAGTCCCAGTTACTTGGGAGGCTGAGGCAAGAGAATTGCTTAAGCCCAAGAGTTTGAGGTTGCTGTGAGCCCTGACGCCATGCCACTCTACCCAGACAATGTCAGACTGTGTCTCAAAAAAAAAAAAAAAAAAAGGAAAAGAAAAGAAATGTAGTTTTGAATCGTTTGCTCTTTGATAGTCTCTGATAGTATGTGAAAATCCCTGTCCATCTACTTTGGAGCACTATGGGGTGCTCTGGACACAAGTTGAATAACCCCCTTTGGGGAGAAGGGATAGAGCCTTGGAATCCCTAAGTGCTCTGTTGGGCATCCTAAGAAAGGAGATGAGGACAGCTAGAGAGTCCAGAACCAGGTGCCAGAGAAGCCACTGGGAAGAGTTGTCTATGAACTCCCACCCACCTGGCTGTGCTGGTAAACAGACTGACCCACAACTTCTATAGCCTTGTAAGAAAAGAGGTGGGACTGATATTTGGCACAGGCAGGCGCAGGTGGCATCACTAAAGCCAAATCTAGAGGGGCAAGTGGCAGGGTAGGGGTGGGGACACATGGTCTGCCGAAAACCCTGGGCTGACGCACCTGTGGCAGCCCCACTAAGGAGCTGCCTCCCTTGCCACAACAACCGTGTGTCCCTCAAGGTTTGAAGAGGAGTATGGAATGAATTTCCAGGGGGCACAGTGTCCCCAGCCCCTCTGCTGTGACCTCGGATGGTTCTTGTGGATTTTCTCTCTTGTCACCTCTCTACCTCCTCCAGTTATCCTGACCCCAGGATGAGGTTGGAACTCACCAGATGAAAAATTTTTGATGCTTTGCACCTGTAATCCCAGCTACTTGGGAGGCTGAGGAGGGAGGATTGCTTAGGCGATGTAAGGAGACCTTGTCTCTTAAAAAAAAAAAAAGTTTAAGATTACCAATAGTATAATAGTTAAAATTACAAATTACGAGCCTCTTATAGTAACTTTGTGCTAGCCAAGGAGCTGGCAAAGGTACCCTCATCTCTACTTAATAGAAAATGCAGAAATTTTGAATCAGACTTGGTTCATGTCTCAGCCCTTTCATGTACAGACTTACCTGGTGTAGCTGCCTCACTAACTTGAAGATAAGAATATCAGTTATAGGGCCAGTGTGAAGGTGACATGGGATGAGGTAGAACCAAGCACCAGAAGAGATACCAGTAGTAAACACGCAACTGTTTGTTACACACCACCTTCCTTCTCTGTCTCTAATGCCTGTCCGTTCCTGGGCACAGAAGCCACCTCAGACATTGCTCCCCCTTTCAGAGTCAGACCACATAACTATAACCAAGCTCTGACATGCATCTCACACTAGGGTGACCAGACGTCTCACTTTTGAACAATTTGTCCCGTGTCATGTGGCATTTTTAAAAAGTCCCGATTTTTGGAAAGAATGCACAAACTGGCAGGAGAACAGGAAGGGAATATACGGTTTTCGGCCACCATGTGGCTATTTTGCCAGAATATGAGCTTTATATTATTTTTGTTAATTTTATAATGTTAAACTGTAATAATAACAAATAATTGTTGAGAAGTGATTATCGAGAACTGCTTATCAAAGTTTGCATTGTTGTCAGGCCCTGCCCTGCCCCATCCCCTGTCCCGCCCCCCCACCCTCTTCATCCCCCCACCCCTCGCCATGTTGTCCTGCTTCACAAATGTTAAAATCTGGTCACCCTACCTCACACACCTCCTCGCTCTTTGAAACTAGGTCAAA